TTCTGCTAGTTGGGGTTTAGTCCAATTCTGCATCCTTTCCTTCAAGGCTCAGGGGTCCAAGATTATCTTCTGTGTCTGTGTTAATTGGTTTCCATTTTCTTTGTTGAAGAGGGTCTGTGCAATCCTTCTGCCTAGTCCCCCATCTTGCCCCGCCTCTCCTTCTCAGGAACTTTTAAATCATAAATTTAATTTCTTTTTAATGATACTATGTGAGTTATCTATCTCTTTTTGACTGAATTTTGGTAATTTGTGGTTTTTAAGTAATCAGTTAATCTTTTCTAAATTGTCAATTTTTTTAGTGTAAAGTTGCTGAAACCAATCCTTTATTTTCCTTTTAATAGCTGCAATATCTATTATGATGTCCTTTATTTCATTATCATATTGCAGAAAATCTGGCAATTCTATTTTTAGTTGTTATTATATTTTTAAGTTCTATCATTTTTATTTATCTTTATAACATTTTTTTTCAATTGTTTCAAGAGAATTCTTGATTGTTTCAAAATATTTTTGAATACTTCATGGTATTTAAAGTTCTTGTCACATTTTCCAACATGTTATTCATCTCAGAACTGGTGTCATTTCACTCTATTTTATTATCCAAATTGTGTTTTTCAGTGCTTTTAAGTTGTATCCTGGGCATCTTGCATGCTCTATTAGGAGACTCTGGGACTATTTAAATATTCTAATTCAACAGTAGTCACCTTATTTAGGTTTAACATGTTAATCTTGGTCTACCTCTTTGAGCAATGACAATTTTATTTTTTAATACTATTCCGGTCCATTTTATTTTCTTGTTCAGATGGGGTTTCTGCTTGATCCCTGAAGTTGAAGAGTACTTTTAGAATGCAAGAAGTATGGGAAACATTGTAAGAGACAACTCATTGTGTAAATCCAAGGGCATGAAGTAAAGTTATAAGTGGAAGAGTTGGTATATGAAGAGGGGTAGTATATCACAGTGAAATAACTACTCTACATTCAAAGACAATTGATGCCAGAGCTTCACATAAATCTTATGTTCTTTGACACTGCAACCAAGTAACTCTGTTCATTCTGATTGTGATACTGGCTCCTGTTGCTCAGATGTAAGCATGTGAGCAATGTTGAACCACGGGGACTACCTATTATATACTATATAGTGTATGAATCATATTTCTGTTATTTCATTAAAAATCTTTGAATTAACTATTTTATAGATGTGAGAACTGAAGCTACTTCATAGTAGCTGTTTTAAAATTATTGTCACATATTTCAAGATCTGATTTATATTTGGTTAACTTATTCAACATCACTTAACTCTTATGTGTCATTGTTGTGATTCAGATTTCTTACTAGAATTTTATTTCATAATAAAACCAAAACCAAACCCATTGCCAACCAGTTGATTCTGTGTCATGGCAACATGTGTTACAGAGTAGAACTGCTCCATAGAGTTTTCCTAGCTGTACTCTTTACAAGAGTAGATTGCCAGACCCTTCAAGGAACCATTAGATTTGATGCAAACTTTAGATTAGCAAATGAGTGCAAACTCTTTGTGTCACCCAGATGTTTAACAAATTGTATTCTTGTGGGTGAAAGGCACAGCTGTAATAATTAAACTGGGACAGTATATATAAAGCAAGATTTTATATAACAAAGTGGATATATGATCACTTTATTTTTCCCCCACTTTTTGATATCCTTTAATAATATATTTACTTAATTGCAAAGCACCCTTCCATACTTATTTTTAAAACCAATAATACACTAATGTTATCATTAAAGAGACTAATTAATTTTATAAAATTATAATAAAGACAAGACAATGTATATATGCCCAAAGGATGAATTTATTAAAATGACTGGAAAGGAAATACATTTTAAGGAAATAATAATAATAAGCAAATTTCAAAAACTATCTTATGCAGCATATTTTGATGTGTGTTTATACTATTGCCAATTCAAAATTGAACTTCTAAGATACTAATTGAATTAATATTTGAGAAGTGTAAAGAATGTCTGAGCAAAATTCAAATCAAGATGAATTCCATACAATACACAAAATAAATAAAGAAATGAAGTTTTGTTTTTTCCATGTAGATTGATAAAATATTGTTTTTGGTAACAAGATACAAAGAAGAGATGACACATTTCCAATCACAGTCAATTCTGTGGAGTAAAGAGAAAATAAAGTACTAATTAAGGAGTGATAAAACTATTTTTTCCCATGTGTAATTTTGGTATGATTAATTTATAAGAGAATTTTAATTAAAAAATGTTCCCTGTTGTGTCTTTCCTTGGAGATAAATAAAAGTTACTATAAAATCAAATATTAGCTTATCTGAAATTGTTTTCATGAAATGTCTAGTCTATCATGTTCACAAAATAATCTGTATCTTAAGAATCCCAAAGATATTCTGTCTTCCTTTGACACGTAATTTTATTTTGACTCATGAATCAAAAAACAACGTATAAATTTTAAATAATAGTTTTAATAAAAACTATTAAAGTCTTATTATGCCTAAGTTAGAATTATGAGTATAAATTTGTCTTTGAAAAATAATAACTCAAATATGTTTACATAAAATAGAAAAAAACAGTTTTTGTTGTTCTTAAAATGATGTTGATTAATAATAATGATGATGATGATTATAATTACTTATAAGGCACCTGAAAGCAAACCAATCAAATCTGCTAATAGCCATAAATGAAATTAAAAGTATTTGAAATACATGGGAAATACAATAAGGTCAGTAAATAATAGTCAAACATTGTGAATTAATAAATAAATAAGTTAGTATATTGATGGGGTTTGCCACTACCTTGGGCTTATTCAAAGAATGAAATGTCAAAAAGTATTAACTATAGGAATGATCACTTTAATTCCAACCCTGAATTCTTACCAGAAGTAAGGAGGGGCATTAACTTTGCAATCTTCTTAGACCTTAAAGATAAAAAACATATAAACATATAACTCACTTCTTGACAAGAATACTTGCCCAACAATGTCTTGAGTAATGAAATAAATATATGAAATAAATACACATATCCAGAACACAATATTGTAAGGAAGACTAAGGCATATGCATTAACACAAGGAAAAGTTAAACTACAGAAATTAGTAATAACAATAATAAAACCAAACCCACTGCTGTGAGTCGCACTTGACTCATAGAGACCCCTCCTTGGATTTCTGAGGCAGTATCACCATGGAAGTAGATTGCCCAACATCCTTCTGAGGAGTGGCAGGTGGGTTTGAACCGCCAGACTTCTGATTAGGCAGTCAAATGCCTTAAGCACTATGCTACCATAAATTAATAAATCATTTTTATTCCAAGCCAATCTGATTACTTAATTTAATTCTGGCTTTAAGAAGTCTGCATCACCCAAGACCATGTATAGGGTTGGCAGACAATGGTCCTATAAGTGTCTTTGTATGATCCGAATTCCAAGGTGTATAGGAGAAATGACAAGGAACAAGGTTGTAGTCACTTCTTGGTCACAGCCAGCTACCCAGAAGGACCAAGTAGTTAAACCTGTGGGCTCAGGCTACTTTGGCGAGTAGCAACTGGGCTCTTAAAAGCTTGCAAGCAGCCATCTAGATGCAACCATGGGTCTCTTCTCATCCAGAGCAAAGAAGAATGAAGAAGACCAAGTATTCATGGAAACAATTAGTCCTAGGGACTGGTACACCATCTGATCTGCAGCCTATACGACTATGAGACCAGAAGAACTATATGTGCCTGGCTACCAATGTCAACCACTCAGAAGGAGATCTGTGTAGGAGATCCTGGAGAGAGGGAGAACAATGTGGAACAAAACTCAAAATCATTTAGAACAACAAAAAAAGTGGGACCAGGTTTGCTGGTCTGATAGAGCATGGTGAAACCACTGAGACTATGGCCCCTAGCTGCCCTTCAGGTCTGGAATTGAACCCACACCTGTGGTTTCCAGCCAAACAAAAGACAGGCATATGAGTTGGACGCTTACCTGAGGTAAGTACACTCCTTGGAGAGAACAATCATGGGAGAGAGAAGGGCTGTGTATGTACAGGGAGACAGCTCAAGGGACAGGAGTGCATGGAGGGATGAACACAGGGAAGAGATAACTATGGGGAGGAAGTGGGAGGGGAACTGTTGCATTGTGGTAAATTGGAGTCAATGTCATGAAACAAAGTGTATGTGAACTGCTGTGTGGAAAGTGAATTTGCTCTATAAATTTTCACCCAAATCACAATTAAAAAAAAAAAAAAAATGAAGTAGAATAAGACTGCATCATATTTATCTAATTTGCAAATTCTCACCAAACCAGTTAAATCAGAATCTCTGTAAGCAGTTCCTCCTAACACTCAATTTCTCCTACTCAAAAATCAGAAACCCTATGCTTAGGAGCTCTGGTAGCATAGTGGCTAAAGCACTTGACTGCTAACCAGAAGGCTGGCGGTTCAAACCCACCAGCCACTCCTCGGAAGGAAGGTTGGGCAATCCTACTTCCGTAGCGATACTGCCTCGGAAACCCAAGGAGGGGTCGCTATGAGTCGGGGCCGACTCAACGGCACATAACAACAACAACAACAACATGGATAGGCTTAGGCATTGAAATTTTGGGGTAAAAGAAAGTCCTGCAGGTGTTTCTACTGTATAAGTATGATGAGAATCACTGATGTAAACTCTATGCTTTTTTGATTCTTTCATATATACATTCTTTTCTTTCTCTCTTTTTTTTTAATTCTAGAGTTGTCACTTATTTATTCTGACATCCGTATACACATCATGAGTGAAACACCATCAGAGTAAGTAAATTTGAACTTACAGACACTGGGTTATAAACTGAAGCAAGTGGTTGACTCATGGAGTAGGACTCCTGGATTGGGTCAAGTAGATGCTCCCGGTACTGCAGAAGGGTGTGAATGGGCATACCCCTCTGGGGGGAGGGCACCACTTGCTGGGGAACAGGCAAGGCTTTGGACTGATAAAGAGACATCAGGGAGAGAGGAGGAAGCACTGGGGTCTGAGGAAGAGGCTGGTGCATGAAGGGCTGAAGCAGAGGCATAAGAAGGTGTGAATTTTCAAAACCACTGAGATTCCGGGTCTGGCGATCAAAAAGGGACATCAGTCTAGCTTGAGGGGAGGGCATCACTTTGTGCTTAGGAAAGATGGTTTCTTTATCTTCAGAGAGTTCCATTATTTCAGGCTGAAGGAAATGAACCACCACAACAGGCTGAACAAGAGGCAGGATGCTTTGTGGAAGGACAGGATAAGGGATGGGCTCAGCATAAGGAGGGACTGGAGGCTGTGGCTGGAAAAAGGTGTGAATTTTATCCTGGCGTTCATCCTGAAAGAAGGAGAAGAATCTATGATTCAGCTACTGCTGTCATTCATGATGAATTAGTCTCTTCTCTCTAGGGTAACCAGAATTTTCAAAACACATATTCACTGAGTGAAAATATAGAGTACCCTGCACATAACTTGGTTAAATTATTTTAGCTTTACATTTTTAGACTAAACATATGCATCCTTATACTCTATAAATATTTTTGTATGTATTATACATCATAAAAACTTTAGAAATGTACTCATCATGAGTAAATTACCTCTCTTTGCTGTTCCTCACATTTAGCCTTCTCAAGTTTTTGCTATAAAAGAAACAACAAAAAAATGTTTCTATATGTAAAAATTAAACACGGGAAATTTTGAAAATATGTGCATTTAAATTTGAAGATTTTATCTTGATGTGTGTAATAGATTCCTTCAGAAAAATAAAAATAAAATCAGATTTAGTTTTAATGGTTTCTAGTGAAGTGAACAATTCCTATTTGCCAACATAAGTCAGAAAACAAAGATAGTTGATAAGTTGATGTGGACAATTTATTTAATAATATCAGTCTTAGCTTAGGATAATTGTTGAAACTAACATGTTACACTGTTCTGTATAAGCCTGTCTCCATAGATAGATAGATAGATAGATATTTAGATACATAAGTACATACACATAGATAAATGCAAACAAGTCAGAAAAGAAAGTTAATGAACATAGAATAAAATGACACATTTTATAGATGTTAATTCCTTTTTGCTCTTATCCTTCCTATGACAAAAAGTGATCTCTAACAGTCTATCTGATTCTAAAATTATAATATTAATTGAAATTACATTCTAATAGCTATTGATACGTTTTATTGTTCATTCTAAGTTTGCTTGATACGTGTGAGGTTTAAAAAAAGTTTGTCAGTGAATTATAGGAAACAAACATTTCCCCTAAGGATCTTGAAATCTTTTTGAAGAGATAAAATATAGAGATATATTATTCAACTAAGAGGTGAAGACAAACACAAAATAGTGGTGCAAGGGTAAATACGTGACTTACCCAGGCAGATTTACGACTACAGAGACTGTGTATCATTGCTTCTCATTTACTACAGCGACTATTGGAATTACAAAATGTGTCCATCTGCCGTCTGCCTACCACCTACACTACAATATCTGCTATCAGAACTGACATGCTTATCTTTTCAATTTGTAACACCAGCTCTGAGGCAATGTCTGATCCATAGGAGGTGCTCAACAAATGGTCATCAAAATAATGAATGAAGTCAAAGAGAGTAGAGAGAGCTCAGTTAAAAGTGAAGGCAGAAAATAGGACTGTACCATTGATAAAAAGAGAGCTAAGTGACAGAAATTCAGGTAGGAAGCCAACCTAGAAACTACTAGAATATTGAATTCTCCAGTTATTTAGTCTCCTTCAGCATATTATATTAGAAATTTACATTAGAATTTATAAGTTAGAAAATATCTAAATTAGCTTAACTACCTTAATGTAACAAATAAAAAGATAAGCACATCACTGTTCTAAAATTGAGAAATTGCCTCTGAATAAAATTGTTTTACCTCATCACCTGAAAGACTGTCCACAGTCTGTAAAAGGGAAAAAAAAAAAAAAGTCAACAACTGGCTGAGTCTTCTCATACATCACCACAGAGTGTTAGTGTCTTATATTTGAGAAACTTTTTCTGAATATAAATATCTTACCTCAGTAGATACAATAATTTCTTCCCTCTATAAAAGAAAAAAAAAGACATGTTAGTGTATGGCTAACTCATTATTAATCATGATTCCTACTTATTTTTAGGAGCTCTGGTAGCATAGTGCCTAAGGCACTTGACTGCTAACCAGAAGGCTGGTGGTTCAAACCCACCAGCCACTCCTCGGAAGGAAGATGGGGCAATCTACTTCTGTAGTGATACTGCCTCAGAAACCCAAGGAGGGGTCGCTATGAGTCGGGTCTGACTCGAGGGCACATAACAACAACAACAACAACAACTTATTTTTGCTTCCTTTATGAAGAGCTACCCTTTTCATAAATCTTTTTGAGAAATAAAAAATACTTTGTGTTTTTTGAAAGAAAGACTCAAAAAATAATTGTTATAAATAATTTTAAAATTTAGTGATTTATATATTGGTATATTTTTATACTGCCTGTATATAGCACAAAACTTTTGATGAGTAATAGAAAAGGAGTTATTTTAACCTGAATTAAAACATTTATTATAGTTATGAGTATTTTGCTACCGCCTTATACTCCATTCTGTGTGCGTGTGTTTGTGTGTGTGTGGGGGGGTGCGCCCTTGTACAAATAGGATTTGACCTAAACCCAAACCTATTTCCACAGGGTCAGTTATGACACATAGTTTCCGAATCTGCAAATCCACAGAAGCTGACTGCCTCATCTCTCTCCCACGGAGCAGCTGATGGGTTCAAACTGCAGAATTTTTGTTAGCAGCCTAATGAGTCACGGGAGCTACTGCCTTGTCATTTTTACAGTTATGTATATGTATGTTTTATCACAGTAATAAGATGTTTTTATGTAACTTCCACAAGCATGCAGTTGTATTTGTACAATAATACTCTTTTTTGTTGTTGTTGTTGCTTTTATGTTTCACCTACTTGTTTTCATGGTGCTTGTTTATTTTTTTCTCCAGAGATTGCTGGCACAGTGGTATTGCAAGCACTCAACCCAGCCCTGTGGCCTTGTAGGCAGCTAAGTGAATGTAAACCATTTTCTTATAAGCCAAAGCAAAACAAAAAACACCAAACCCTTTGCAGTGGAGTTGATTTCAATCATAGCAACCCTATATGACAGACTTCCCCACAGGGTTTCGGAGACTATGATCTTTATGGAAGCAAGTTGTCTGATTTTTCTTCCATGCAGCAACTGGTGGGTTCCAACAGTGGATAGTTCATTTAACTGCTGATCACAACCACTGTACCACCAGGAATCCTTCCAGAAGCCAAAATATTTTGTTGAAAATCTGCATTATTTGAACACTTAAGGATATTGCTGATATTATTGTCTACACCTCATCAGCTAGTTGATTCTATGTTAAATGTTTAGACATTTCTCCCTATACTTACCTCCCTTGCAAGAGCAAGGGCCACCAGACAGGCGAGGATGAGGACCTTCATGGCTATCAAGTCCTATGAAAGGAGAAAAAAGGAAATGGTGATGTATAAGATCAGTCTGATACATTATCTTATTTAGCTCTTATTTACTTAGGGTTCTTTTTTATTAGGATTATGAGTATTTTGCTACAGCCTTATATCCCATTCTGTGTTTGTGTGTGTGTGTGTGTGTGCCCTTGGACAGATAGGATTTGACCTAAACCCAAACCTATTTCTACAGGGTCATTTTTATCGATTATGAAAATGTCTGCATTCTAGACAAAAAATATTTATGGTAAATTTATAATATGACCAAAGTCAGCATCTTACTACAGTTCTGTGTTTTTACATATCAAATTCAATTTTCATTGCCAAATATTCAGATATTTTCAGCTTCTAAAACCTCTACTCTACCTTTTTAATCTCATTCACTCTTTATGCATTTATGAAAGGTATAAAGATACTATAAATATTTACAGAAATAATTTTAATAGATGCATTCTTTAAAAATATTCACTTAACACCTTTTATTGCCAGTGTCCATATGCTGAGGATACAGAGGTGAAAAAAAAAGTTGTGAGTTCTCTGTCTTGGTGGAGCCTCAGTTGTCTTAGCTAGAGACTGATCAAAGAATATGTATACAAAGAAGATGATTTTTCCAAGATTATGCTTTCCCTTTACTAAATGAGTCTCCATGATATATAGTTTCTTCACATCTCCTTCCAATAGACTCAGAATTTAAATATTTCCTATATTTTCTCCTCTAGCTGCATGTTTTCTTGGATTCATTGGTTGGTTGTTCTCTGTTTATACCCACTATGAGTCGGGGCCAACTCGACGGCACATAACAACAACAACAACAACATGGAATCTTCAGGGAGGTGTGGTGGCATAGTGTCTAAGACATTTGACTGCTAACTAGAAGCCTGGTGGTTCAAACCCACCAGATACTCCTCAGAAGGAAGGTTGGTCAATCTCGTTCCATAGTGATACTGCCTTAAAAATCCAAGGAGGGGTCGCTATGAGTAGGATCTGACTTGATGGCAGTGGTGGTACAGTGGTTAAGGCATTCAGCTGCCAATCAAAAGGTCAGCAGTTTGAACCTACTAGCTTCTCTGTGGGAGAAATATCAGACAGTCTGCTTCTGTAAAGATTTAGAGCCTTGAAAATTCTATGCAGAAGTTTTACTCTGTCCTATAGTATTACTGTGAGTCAGAATCAACTCCATGGCTGTGGGTTTTGATTATGGAGTCCTCACCACCATAAATCTAATAATGTCACATGATTCTAGAGAATATATATTATGCCACTTCTCTTTCCCCTGTTAAAATATGCCCTATCATCTCTTCGTGATTTACCAAGAAGTCAGGTTCTCTTGGCCTCCTCTCCACACCATTTTCCCTGCTGCCTAATCTGGTGAAATGTACATAGTACTTTTGACCCAAATGTAGTTACTGAATTGCCATCTTTGCTTGCATTCATTGCATTTTCTATATATTTTTTCTGAAAAATTCTATTGGTAACATAATATTCCTTGACACAAACCCTCAATCTCAGATTATTAAGCTAAATTTCTGAATTAAAAATATTTCAGTAAAAAAAAAAGTCTATAGTTCACCTGTAAAATATTCTTTTCAACATTTGAGGAATAAAAATAATACTTTTATGAGGGAAATATTTTTCTAGATTTTTCTCATGAGGGCTATTTATTTATTTATTTATTTTCTCCATAAATTATTTCATCCATAAATTGTTTAATAAATTTGTCAAGATTAAAACAGAGAATGTAATATTCTATGAGAAGTCATTAATATAGGGAGAATTCCTTACATTTCTTATATTTATATACAAGTTCTTAAGCCAGAACCTCATTTTTTACTAATATCTATGCTAAGTTGGGAGGAGCTCTGGTGGAGCAGTGCCTAAGGCATTTGACTACTAACCAGAAGGCTGGCGGTTCAAATCCACCAGCCGCTCCTTGGAAGGAAGATTGGGCAATCTACTTCCATAGTGATACTGCCTCAGAAACCCAAGGAGAGGTCACTATGAGTTGGATCTGACTCGACAGCAGTGGGTTTGGTTTGATTGTTCTATGCTAACCAAGTTACTCTTTCTTTCAAATCATCTTTTCTTTGTTTCTGATGTTTCAAAGTCATCTCTGTGCAAACTTAAAATTTCTTACAAAGTGAAACCTTTGTTTCTTTTTCTTTTAATTCTGTATTTTTCATGTCTTTAATTTAATATTATTTTTAAATATAATAAAGCAGGTGATGAACTAGCAAATTGGATGTTCTAGACAAATTTGGTGATTTGGGAAAAAAAACAAACTCACTGCCATTGAGTCAATTCTGACTCCTAGCAACCTCCATTTGTTTCCAAGGCTGTAAATCTTTACAGAAGTAGATCATCCCATGCTCCTTTAGAGGAAAGGCTGGTATGTTTGAAAAGCTGACCTTTAGGTTTGCAGCCAAGTGCCTTATCCAGTATGCCACCAGAGCTCCTTAATTTGGTGAATGCAACCTCATAAAATGAAATTATTTGAAGTGGTGGATGTCCCTAACCCACTTCCTCAGTTTCTAGACTCACTATGCTGCTTGCAACAACCTAGGAGGTCTGTGGTGCTCCAGTTAAACAATGGGCCATTAACCAAAAGTTTGGCAGTTGAAACTCCCTCCTGCTCCATGGGAGAAAGATGAGACAGTCTGCTTCTGTAATGATTTACATCATTGGAAACTATATGGGGCAGTTCTACTCTCTTATAAGGTAGCTAAGAGTCAGAATTCTTGATGGAAGTGTGTGGGTTTGAGTAAACTACCTATTGGCTAAAACTTTCTCAAAGCATAATTTTAATATATTTGGTTTTTATGACTATGGTATGTTAAATCAAATCAGAAGACTTGATGCATAAAATGGATTTCTTCTTCATATAGCCTATGAACTAACTTTATTTTACCTACACACACACACACATACACACACATATGTGTATGTATGTAATATATGAAGTCTAGCCATAAAATGCCTTAGGCACTATGCCACCAGAGCTCCCATAT